AACAAGCTTCTGTGAGCAAAACAAGCAATACTGGCCAATCAGCCCTTTTTACTAGTATAGCCAACTACATAAGGGGCTTCTGCCAGCACAGCAGGCAAGAAAACTACTAGTAGAACTGCTAGTATTTGTATGTCTTCCATGAATGAATGGCATGGTTGGGATTTAAGTCACCAAAGAACTTGCAGCCTCTGTTGATCCTGGCATTGCTGGAAGAGTACAGACCTTCTACTTATGACAACTGGAAAGGATGCTTCGGAGGGAAGTGCAAGGGAAGCGTACCTGCAAAAAAAAGCTGTTTAAGAAAGGATCTTCACAGTGTTGGGGTTTTTTAAATCTTAGTTAAATCCAAACAGAAGCGAGCGCAACAGAGGCCTATGTGGTTAAGTGCAGAGCTATTGAGCAATCCAGTCAGAAAGGAGAAAGCATTAAAAGTATTATATACGAACAAGCTCCAAGAAAGACGGGGACATGTATAAAAATAAAAAGAGAATGGATGGGTAATCACAGGAGCACAAGGTAGCACTGACTACAATTATGGTGAGTAATTCAGGTGGCAAAGGGTAAGACAGCCACAGTAGACATAAGAAACTGATCTAGTAAAGGAGCCCATTAGAATTAGAGCTAGGTGATAAGAAAGTAAATGGAAGGTTTTATTAAATAGACTTATTTATATGATAGAGAGCAGCCTATGGCTCTAGTCCTACAAGCTTTTGCAATGAGCAAATAACTTTATGCACATAAATATTTCCATAGAATACAATTGGGTTGACCATAGTTCAGTGGAACTACTACTGTATAAAGTAAACCCAGGGAAAATTCTTTGCATTACGCAGTAGTGGAGGTCAGAAGTGTAACTGTGTGCATGAAAGAATGGAAATAGGAATTATTATACATCTCTGTAGCACCTATCACTAAGGATCTGGGTGCTCTGAGTATGATAGTGTGAGGAAACCAGGCAGAAAAAGGGTTAAGAAAAAAAATCTGGCATATTCCTCAAGTCTTAAAAGAAATATCATCAACAGCAAGACAGTAATTTCTATTTTTTAGAAGTTCTCCAGAGCAGGTCTTAAATATCTGAAGTCTCTCAGGGGACTCGATATTATGAAATCTGTTTAACAACACTATTCCTATGTTTGAGGCACTAATGATGTGCTCAGCATGGCATGAGATATAAATAAGACACTATTTGCCCTAAGGAGGTTAGTCTAAAAGCCAGACAAATTAGGGGGGGAAAAGTATATGGGGAAACCCAGAGGAGGTGTTGTTTAGTATGGGTATTTTTTTTTATTTCCTTCATTTCAGCCTCTCTCTCTTCTTTTTTTTTTTTTTTAATTCCCTTCCTCCCATGATATACACTGTATGATCCATCTCTGTCTATAATGACTGTGTTAGGTTAGAACTGGCTCCAGTTACCTAGCAGGTGTCCTACAATAACACTGTTATACAGTAGTTGGGTTAAGCATTGCTGAGAAAAATATTAGAATAGCCACAATGACATGGGAGATATTAAGGGTCTGAACAGTATACATTCAAAGTCTTTTTGTGTCATTAGATGGTGAGACTAAGGCAAGATATTGAAGGTTGATGGCTTTAATCACTGGCTTATGTAAGAATAAGCATAACAGTCCTTTGCTGAATTTTTAAAACTTGCTTAACAAGAGCAACACCCATATCTGTGACTTTTCTAGGAACGTCAGACTGGAAGGGACCTCCTGAACCATGCAATCATGCAACAGACATCTGTCCAAAAGGGTTCACAGGAGGTCCACTCTGTCTTCTTCAGCATACTATAAATACAAAAGCACCCCCAAAAAACCTCTACACAGGAAGAGATGAGGGTGCCACTAGTGCATTGGTGGCTGTAGTGGCAGGGCACGTGTTAAGTAAAACATTCTCAGAGGGATCCTAGGAAGTAGACCATATGCCATGCTAAAGGGGAAAGCAAAAAACCAGGGGTCCTTGCCCAAGGGAAAATTCCTTCTTGACCTCCATTCTGGCAACCTGTTTAACCTTTAGGGCATGCACAAGGGCCTGTAGAATGGGCTGATCTTTACCTAGAAACATCTTTCCTGGGAAAGCCCAGAGGTAGCTTGCTTAACCTGTATAGCTAGGTCAGATGAGTGACTTGCACGTCACAACCAATATGGACTTCTAAAAGAGTTCCCCCTGGCTTTGCCCTGCCTAAGCATAGTTCACCATTGTTGGGATCCTAACACAGATATTCCCAGTCCACCTTTCCTGATAGGGCATGCAAAACAGGCTAAGGCGGCCCTGGAGACAGTAGATGGGAAAAGAAAGAGATGAGGGTTCCACTGACCAAGGAAGAAATTTGGAAGTGTGTGAAAGATTTTGTCAAGTATTTCAGTCTGGACCAACTGTAAAAATAAAACATAGGTGTTTAAGGAACCAGTTGGAGATGATTAACTGAACCTCAGCTTCAGGAGTTCATTTGTATTCCCTCTCCATAAGAGAGGTGTGTATGCTGTGGAGAGTAGATAATGCTAGCAAAGCAGAATCCTTTTGGTTCTAAGAAGAAAACTGAATGAGGCTAAACTAGCAGGAAATTACCTAGAGGTTGCTGACTCTGACAGGACTCACAACAAGCCTGGCAGTAAGATCAACTTTAAAAGAACACAACTGATCACTGAGTGTAATTGTTTGGCCAAATAATGGGCCAGACCCCTCAAATCCTTAGCATAGTCAAGCTTCCAGTGATTTAGGTCAGGTCTTTGCCTGTGTAAGTACTTCCTGATTGGCCCCAGTCAGTACAATGTATGGAATGAGCTCTCAAGGGAAAGTTAGCCACACAAACAATACACGATGTATGAGCTGAAGCACAGATTTTAGTGTGAAAGGGGAGGTATTCAGGAGCAGGGAAAGAAAGGAATAAAGTATAGATTTACAAGGCTTTTCTCTGACTAGCAAACTAACAATTAATCATGGCCAGTTTCCTTGCTACAGTTAAAATGTCCAGAATCTGTATTTGAGAATTCCTGACATACTTGAAGATTGACAACTTACAGTACCAGCTCTATCATTATAATAACTGAACCTCAAAGTGGTAGCTAACCTGGGAAAGACACTAATGCATTGGTAGTTCACTCTAACTTAGTTCAAGGTGAGCAATAGTGAATGCACTCACTCTGAGAATTTTCTCAGAAGACAAACCTGGAGTGGTTTTCACTGATAAATCACAAAAGATACTTAGCCAGCAAGAGTGACCCCTGCTCATATACAGTAAATCACAAACATCAACAGTCTAATGGATTTTGATTTGGTGCCACAGCCAACTAAGCCCGAGGCCTGCGTTTCAGGATTCCAGAACTGTGCCAAAATATCCTTATAAATTATGAATGTGTTCAGCACACCGTCATCTGTGCCATTTAAAATCAAAAGACATTTGGTGGCTCCTTCTGCCATTAAAAAAAAAAGTAATAAGCCGTTCAAAGTAACACACCTTTCCTTTTCCCTTCCAAAGTAAATCATTAATCCATGTTTCCCCCTCCCCCTCAACACTGTAAAATGTCTTCCCTGAACTCTAAAAGATACTTTTGTTTCTACCTGCAGTGTTACAATGAAAAAAGCCCATTTTAGAAAGAATATAATCCGTGCTGCAGGGACAACGCTGCAATTTGCATACAGGAACATATGACAAGATGATGACATAGACAGAAATAGCTCAGACTTCCTTTTGTTTTATAGAAGTTTAGTGGAAGTATTGATCCCAGAATTTTCAAGGTTTCAATCCTTCCTGCTGCATTTTTCAACCTCCTAGTCTTCATTTTTGTCCCTACAGTTACCAAATCTCTGCATTTGGTGGCTGAGGTTTCATCACCAATAGAAATGTGCAACTGCAAGGGTGCTCCTTAAGTGAAGCACCTAATTAGCTGTCAACTATGACACCAATTTCTCAGCACTGTGTTCTTTGAAAGTATACAGATACAAGTACTGAATTCGAAGTGTAAGAAATTCAAACCCAGACTTCAACTACTGGACCATCAATGGTATTATAAAGAGGCAGGAGGTGAAATATGCTGGAAGCAGGTAAAAAACAGTGTCAAATCATTGTTTTTAGAAGATCTGAAGAGTGAAAGTTTGCAAGAGACTCTCAGAAGTCATATTTTACCTTGAAATGTTAAGATAAGCCTTAGATGACAGATTTTATTAGTGCAGCATCACTACTTAAGACGAGGTAGTTAGAAATGATTTCTAATAACTGTACCCTGAGAGACTCGCTTTCATTTCTATTAGTTCAATTAAACCTACCATAACTCACAGTAAACTTTATGGAGATCACGAACGTTTTGAGCCCCAGATGGGCATCTGTTCATCTGCTCTTGTCATAAGACGTTGTCATAGCAGCATGCACATCTTAAACTCAGGAAAAAATGGCAAAAGTTGGGTAAAACAGGCCATGCTGAAGGTTAAATTAACATGGTTGCACTTCTGGTGTTCATCATTTCACGTATTCCAGCATTAGAATCCATTCAATCATTTTCTTCCTCATCTTTTTAATCTACTCTTAAAATATATAGAGATGTGCGTGTGAGTGTGTGCATGCATGCATGTTCCTTACCCTGTTCCATATGAGCAACGTAGAAGTGTGTGGAGTACAGAGTAACATTTACACATGAAGGGAGGGATCATACCCAGGGAGGAAGAAGAGCTAGGGACCCAATGAAGGGCACAAAGTACTGCTCTATCACTAATCAATTTTACATGGAAAGTCCCCAGACACTTGGGTGAGGGGCAGTAGTACCAGACTGAAAAATAGGTATGTCTGCACAGTGCTCCCCAGTTTGCTTGAGAGCCTCTTGCAGCTAACTACCTCTTCTACAAGGCCTGTGACCAGCAAAAACAGAACACTGACTCAAGAGGTTACCTTGGCCGCTACTGAAGAGTTGGGTTTCTCTAGAAGATCCCAGAGTTTTTTCCTTTTGTCGGCGCAGCAGGTGTTATCAAACTCCTCTCCTTCCCTTTCCCTCAGTGTCTCAGCTTCTCTCTTCAGCTCCTCATTCATTTGCTCTTTCTTCTGGTGGTATCTCGCCTGGCAGCATGACTCCAGATAGATCTCATCGATCCCCCAATAGTCCAGTTCTTGGCTGAAGGACAAAGCGCACATCTCCTCCATCATGTGCAACTTGCCCGTGCGGTAGAAGTTCAAGATTGAAGTAAATGCCCCGGGGTGCCTGTCAAAGAAATACTCATTCTCCTCCAGGTTATAGTCATCACATATTTCCATGAGGGATTCATGAGTGTTGCAGTCTCTGAGCTTACCCAGTCTGGTCCGTGGTAACCTGTCCAGGGTTCTCCATAAAACTTCATGTGCCAGACCCCCCACATTCAGCTTGACCCTGCGGGAGCAGGCCTTGCTCCGAACGATCTCCATGGGGTCTGGAGGCAAAGAGGTAGTAGACCGAGATCCATGCTTATTCATCCCCGCAGGCATTTCTGTCTCCCTAAGGCTCTACGGGGGTGGGTTTCGAGGGGCGGCTGGGCAGGGTGCTCACTCTTCAGAGCCGGGTCGCTTCACCTGTTCTCCTTCCCCTCCATGCTGAAGAGCTGCAAGAAAGAAACCAAGCCATGGGTCATTTTCCTGCTCCTGCTGCTGTGCGTGGGGCCGCGGGTGACCTACACAGTAAGCAGAGCCTCCTTCAGGCCGAGCCGGCGGCTTTATCCATTAATCAGACGAACAAATAGCTCGCGTAATCTGCTTTGCGCCCGGCTGCGGGAGAGCGTCGGGCGCTGTCCGGCCTCCTGGTGCTGAAGCGGACCCGGCCCGCGGGAGCCGCTCGCTGCCGGCCGCTCCCCGGCGGAGGGCCCCGGCGCTGTCCACGCCTGGGGGTGCTGAACACGTGCTCGCGGGCCCTGGGCTCCGGGGAGCGGGGCCGCTGGCGCTGCCTTAGCCCGGGCTGGCCGGCTCCATGGCTGCTCCCATTGCAACGCGAGGGCTTCGCGATCTAGAGGCTTGAAGGGAGGGAGAAAGCACCCTGTTAGGGAAGCGCGGGAGGGCGGGTTCCCCGAGGGGACGGGGCGGGCGTCCAGAGGTGCTAGATCCTCACGCCTCCCTTCCCTGCTCGATGCACACGGGCGCTGGCCTGTCCCCACACCCCAAGAGCCAGGGCATGCCCAGTGCCACCGGCATGCCCGCTGGATGCGCACCCACGGGACTACGTGCTGCCGAAGACACCGTGGCAGGCAGCAGCCGCGGTTCACATCCGGAGCGCGGCTCCCCGGGCTGGAGGCGGCCTTGGCGCCGCGATGGCCTCTCCCCTCCGGCCCGGACAGTTTTGCTTTCGCTGGAAAAGGGCTAAGACGCCGGCAGCCGGCGGGGGCAGGGGCAGACTGTGCGGGGCTTAGCAGGATCTTCCCCGCAGGGACCAGTCGCCCCTTCTCAACCGTTACCTGCTTATAAATGTAACGCCAAGACGTCAGGGCCGGCCAGGATTGACGCGGTGCCACGCCACTTGCCCTGTCCTGCACGAGATCGCCGGGAGAGCCGGCTGCGAGCAGGCCCCGGGGGGAAGCCCCCCATTCCCGCCCCCCGGGGCAGAGCAGCCCCTGCACTCAGGCAGCCTCTCTCCTGCGGCTGCTTCTTGTCACTGGGGGGGGGCCGGTGAAGTTCCCCGCGGGCACGGCTGCGGGGGATCGCCGTTGTTTCCAGGCACTTTCCCCGCGCGTTCAACACGTCCGGGCTCCTCTGGCTCCCGGGCCCATCGCCTTCCCCCGGCAGGGACCGGCTCGCAGCGGGCCCCGGCACTGTTGCTTGCACAAGATGGCTTAGGATCCGGGCCGGCGCGCACGGGGAGCGGCTTCCTCCGTGCCCGGCCCCGCGCCATCTGCGGGGAAGGGAGGGATCAGGATCTCCCCATGTAAGGACATCCCACCCCGCAGCTCGGGGCTGTGCCTGCGAGCAGACTCCGGAGCCGCCGCGACCGTGGCTGGAGCCCTGCCCTGCCCTGCCCTGCCCTCCGGGAAGCCGAGGCCCCGCGGCTGGCTCCGCTACCTACCTCCCTCCTCCTGCGGGATCGCGGCGGACGCAGAGCCGGGCCCTCAGCGCCGAGCCGGGGGCCGCATCATGCATCGGCCGGCGGGGCGAGCGCCGGGGAGCCGCCGCCGTGCATCTCGCCGGGGAAGCCTTATGCGGAAAGCGCGCAATCAAATCCCAGGCTATCCAAGACCCCCGGAGAAAGGGGCGGGCGCAGGAGGAAGGTCCCCGGCGCCTGGAAGCTGCACAATTTTCCCGGCGCCCTTCAGCAAGAAGCTCCCCGCGGCCTTCGTCAGCCCGGCTCGCTCCTCCGCCCCCGGCTACACGGGAGCACGGAGCCACAGCTGGTTTTTTCCTCCCCGCTCCCCACGGCACGAAGGCGAGCTCCGGGACTTCCCTCGGCCGCCTCGTACCGGCGATCAACAAGTCTGGTGCGAAGCTCCAGCTTCCCCCTGCAATCCCGTCCCGGAGTTGTTGCAAGTTGGGGGTTGAAGAGAGGGGGCAGCTCCACCGTGAGCCGGGCTGCGGCACTGCAGGGGGAGTTCCCGGCGGGGGAGGGGACTGGCTTGGCAGGAGGAGCCTGGCAGCCTCTCTCTAGGCCTGTCCCCCCACCCCTCGACTCCCACGGCGCTGCTCGCGCCAGGGAGGCGCTGCCACGCCGAGGAGCAGAAGGCAGCGACTCGCTGCTGAACCTCGTGTGGCCTTTGCTCGTCTCCCAGCTGAGCCAGGAGCTGCAGAGCTAAGGGGGCTGTTGCACAGGCACCATCTAGGTGTTCTCCTTGCCTGGCATCTAGCCCTTTGCTGCAGCGGCACATGCAGTCAAGACTGCAGGATTTCACCCCTGGTCCCTAGCCCCCTGCCTTTGTTTCATCCTCATCACTGCAATCGCTTGTGGATACTTAAAGATGAGAAGAAGAGGCAGATCCGAGGTGTAGATCAGGATTATAAGTGTCATTAGGTGCCACAAGGAGAAACAAGGCTTGGGACTTGGGGTCATAAGGAACAAACCAGCTAGCCAAGCACTGAGTCTCTTTGCACCATCGACCTTGCTTTGCCCGTTGCTTGCTTCTTTTCTCACTGGGGCTGTGGAGTGGCAATTAATACTGGAGGCTGAGGCTCCTAAGTGTGTGGGAGGCTTGGTCAGTTCTGGGGCACTATATCAACAATCAAGGGATTCTTCAAGCTAATTGTTGTCCTGGTTGCTACTATCCTTATCTCACCCTCCAGGCCCAGGCTCTCACTATCATTTAATACTCATATGTTAATCTATTGTCCTTGAACCTACAAAAATCACCCTCACCTGGAATTCCCAGTGAAATCCCAGCCAGCACAAAGACGCAAGGCTTGCATGGTCAGGTTCTTGGATCTAAACATGTAATAGGTAGTGCTTGTACAGGCAATACCATCAGTAGATCTCAAGCACTTAATTCAGGTAGGCATCATTATATTCATTTTACAGGTAAAGAAACTGAGGCACAGAGAACTGATTTGCCCAATGTCTACCAGCAGAGCTGGGAATAAAACTCGAAATTTAAAGAGCTCCAATCAATGCTCTGTCCACCAGGCCACTCTTCCTTGGAGGTGGATGGGCTTGTCATTAAAGCACATGATCAGTAGTGGGAACATCTGGGTCCTATCCTTGCTTCTGCAAATCATTTCCTGGCTGTCCCTCCACTTCCTTACATGCGGCATAACAACATTTAAGTACTGTTCAGTGGATTTTGAGGCTACATGTACTAACATTTACTAACTTGGTAAAGTGCTTTACCTGAGCAGGTGCTGAATGAAATCTAATGGCTGTTTGTTTGCAGTAATGTCTTAGGTGCATCATCTTACAGTCCAACAGGGGAAACAAGAAAACAAGTAACCCAATACAAGACAATGAATCAGTCGACAGATAAATCACTAAGAAAGAGACAACTCTGGTTTTACTCACCAGAGCATTTGTAACCTATGTCGCTCTCATTACAGTTCCAATAGCATTCACATACTACTGCACCAGACCGAAGACTAGTTAGTTGAACAGCCCACTGTAATGATGAGAGGGCCACAATGTAATAGCCCAAGAGCAAACTGGCAACACAGTGGTGCTTGTTCACATTAGACCACCAAGTCCAGCTCCAGTGAATAGCCAAAACAACTCTTGTCTACAAACTGCAAGACTGGGCTTTCAAGAAAGAAAAGATCAGCAATGGATCGCACCTTAAATGAGCAAGCCATCTATTTTTCTAGTACACACCTACTCTTTGAAGTAAATGAGTTTTTATTTCTCTGACTTTGATTCTCCCAAAACTTCTCTCTATATCAGGGCAGAGTTTGTCAGCAAGGGGCAGTGTAGGCATGAGAACGAAATGATGCAATACATGACGTACCTTCTGGCAAGGTTATCTAACCCAATAGCACATTGTCTCTTCAGATAATCTCTCACATTTGATATCTTCATGCCCCAGGCTTCTCAAATCTTCATTTGTGGCTTTGGGTAAATGTGATTCCTTTTATTTAATAAAAGATCTAATCTTTTTATGTAATCTTTTATTAGATAAATTATATTACATTACCCAAAGAATCTTGTCTGCCTATGTCCTTAGACCAACACAGCTACAACCAACAACCCTCATTTGTGGCTTATTTTCAAGACCTCTGGAGTCATCCAAACACTTGAATACAGTGAGTGGCAGATCTTGTTCCTTTCCAAGTGGCTACGGAGTTATTGATAAGCAAATACTTTAAACCTCAAGTACTTCAGAGGAAAACATATGGCTCAATACATTTTCCTGGGCTCACTAACTACATTTACATATCTATATATCTGGATTTCACCTCACATGCTGCCAAGGAGAGTGAACCAGCCTCTTCAGCATTTATCCAAGGGCTATAAACACAAGAGTTAAACATCCTGAGGTGAACTGTGAGAATGCCCTGTCACTCATCCATGCCCGAAAGTGCTGCTACAGAATTAAAAACAAACCCATAAAATACTGGGCTCACTTCCAAAAACCCTTCCTCACCAATGGCTGACCTTCCATCTGGCCACTCTTCTTTGATTAAAGTCTTATCATACTGGTTTCAATTGCAGCTGCAGCCTTATGCTGCCCCATAGCCTGCAGAGCAATTGATCATGGACCTTTACATTTCCCCCTCAGGGAACAAGTGAAGAACTTGGGATAGATGGCCTACTGCACCGGATCTTTTCATGTAAGGCACAGAGCAGGAGAAAGACTTAGGACTGGAGAGGGGAACAGAGGGCAACAGATGGGAGAAGGATCAGCCATAGGGCAATTTCACTTGTCTGAAGAATAATCTCAGCTGTAAAAAGGAGATGGGTGGTTACAAGAAGAATGCTATAAGGAAGAGAAGCTGCTGCAGGGAATCGTGTTTATAACAGCATGGGGTAATGCCTATTCAACAAGGACTGAAGGACAGGTAATGACAGAGAAATTCTTCTAAAAGTCCAGGATCTAGTCAGTCTGGATAAAGCTGGAGTTTATTTGAACCTTTATGAAGTTTTTCCCAGCACAAACTTCCAGCATCATCACATGCTGGGGTGGGGGGAGTCTGTACATCAATACTGACACTATAATCCTCAATTCCAGGCAAAAGACTGCACTTTCCTTATGAATGGTGCAGTTCAGGAGAAGGTGCACTGTTGTAGAGCTTCATTCTATTCATTTGGAAAGGTCTTCACTGGACTTACTG